GAGGAATGCTTTTGGTGAACGTTGCAGACAGGCCAAGTACGTATGCTTTCTGGTTGGGATGAAACCAACCTAATCGATCGAGATCAGCATGACAACAGCAGTTGGTGTGTGCCGATCGGAAAGTTTAATTACGATGAGAGGGATGTTTTGTTCCCCGAGCTTGGCAATTCTGTTGCAGACGTTTCGTTGCTAGGCCACATTCTCAGTGCGACTATCAGGGTCTGATTCGCAGAAGCTCGTAAGCCACTGCCAGAGCCAAGTGACTATCGATCGTCTCCTGCTTTGAATGTCAGTCTTCGACTGGCTGAAGTGTGTTGGCCAAATGGTCACGCCTTCCCCTTGTCGATCAGATATTTACTGCCGATTTCACCTGCAGAGCTGCGTAGACCTTTGCTAGTCCAGGTACTTGTTGATTGAACTCTGGCCCGAATGTCAGGCCTCCATGAACTCACGCGTCCTGCGGTTTTTTGCTCTCCGAAGTATCCTAACGTTCCCCAGATCGAACTGATGGCCTTCGGTGACAAGGCGGTGGAGGATTAGACTGTGTCCATTGTGTCTTGTGCCAAGTTTTCTCCCTATCCGATTTACGTATTACTTGTTACAATTTTTGCAGAAAATCTCGTAGATCACACTTGATGTTTCTTCTTTACTCAGTTGGTTTTTTACTCCGAAAGGTTTATTCCGAATGGTTTCCGTTGATTCATGTGTAACGTCGATCCCGTGAGGGGTTAAAAGACTCGCTACCATCTCAGAAATTCCATGGATGTAAGGTAGGACAATCGTTTTCCTTTCCGTTGCGTTTGTAGAAGCGGCCTGCGGTGGTCTTCCTCCGCCTTCTTCAGTTGCAACATGCTATAGTGTGTCTGGCCCGTTTAAAAAGTGCCCTCACGCAACTGTGCTTATAAGTGGCCGGAGGGTTACTACGATAGTTCTAGATCTGACCAGTGTGCGTTGCTTTTCGATGGGCTGTCATTTTCAAGGGTCCGGAAGCAGGTCATCTCACAAGCACGTCCAAGAATGATAACTGGTCATTGTTCTCCTTTATGCTGAAATGGATGCCGAGAGAAATATTATTGATCAGACGATGCATTTTTGTAGTCTGGAACGCTTGATGATGACGAAAGCATCGTCCACGTAACGTACCCAAAGTTTGGGCTTCACCATCGGCAGTACTTTTGTTCCAGTGCTTGCATCACTGCCTCGGCCACCAGTCCAGAGATTAGTGAACCCACTGGCGTGCTCATTATCAGTTTGTACGTTTGACCATTGAAAGTAAAGTGTGTGATGAGACAGAAATCAAGCAACTCCATCATTTGTGCGACTCCAATTCTGTTGTTCGTATTTGTAGGGTCATAATTGCTTGCATTGCCAGCTTCGTGTCAATCGACGTGAACAAAAGGGTAACGTTAAAGAATACTATTATCTTGCCTGTTTCTATTGTTATTCCCTTGAGTTTTGCAAGGAATTGTTCTGCCGATTTAATTGTATGCTCTGAGTCTGCGGTTAGGTGTTTCAGCCGTTTTCAGAATTCCTTAGACAGCTTGTAATTCGATATCCAGGGCAATGACACGATAGAGTGAAGCTGCACCCCATTTTTGTGTGTTTTTGGTAGACCGTAGAACCGTGATATTACTGAATCCTCGTGTCTCATCTTACTGTGTTCGAACTTGTTGATCTGTCCCATTTGTTCTAGCCTTTGAAGAGCTCGTTTGATCTGACTTTCCAGACATTTGGTAGGGTCTTCACTAATCGGCTGGTATGTGTTCATATATTCGAGCAGTTCTTGTGCTTTCTTTATGTAGTCAGTTTTGTCCATTATGACAGTAAGATAAAAATGGACGTTTGGCAATGCCTTTTGTTCGCTTACGCTGAAAAGGTTGGTTTTAGCTTTGTGACAGCGTGGGGATGATGCTGTGCCTAACTGCATGTTGGGTTTCAGCTGTGATGTTAAATGTTGTCAACGTTGATTCAAGTGCGGCAAGGAAAGCAATGGGATGGGAATCTTTGTAATTGACTTGCAGACTTCGCCCAATAATTGCTCTTTCTGTATTTGATGGGGTTCGTTTGAATAGATGCCTAATGCAAGCAACGTCTGCATTTTGCTGGTTTGTGTTACGAGATTCCCTCCAGCTACTTTTTTAGCACCTGCTTTGTTTGTAGCTTCGTCTTGTGAGTTCAACTAGCTATCGCTTTCTCAAGCTCTCTGGTCAATTGTTCTCAGATGTATAAACACATCTACTTTTGTTGATTGATTAATCATTGGTAATTTTGCCATCGGCTGTGTACATTTGTGATCATCAGACGCAGCATTCGTCGTCCATGTTGCTGGGGGATCTTTCAAGCCAAAGGTTGTGGATAAGCGGAAGGTAATGTTACTTGTTAGTAAGACTTGTCTCCGCAAACATTCATGCAGGAAGTAGAGTAGCTCGTTAGTGAAGGATTGCCGGCTGGCAAAGATCACCCATCGGCGAGCGGATTTTAGCGCATCGCGCTCAAGTTGTTTGGAAATTATTAAGAATATCTGTAGTTCGGGGTGTGAATGGGAGGGTTATTTTGTCCTCCGAGCTGGGCAATTTTGTTGCATGTGGCGTACAGTTCAGATCGGTTTGTATTACATAAGACACGTGCACCGAGTTGCGATGGAGCAACTTAGCATGGATCACGTCGCTAAATCCATAATAATAATAATAATAATAATAATAATAATAATAATAATAACAGAAGAATAATGGGCAAATGAAAACGCCAGATGCAATATTTAAGAGCCAGAAACAAGAAAAAGGATGGAAGAACTATGTTTGATTGTCATCTCCCATAGAGTATCCAACTGCTCATGCGGTCGATCTCTAGGTCCCCATCCAAGAAGGCTGCAAACGTCAATCCGACAACCTTTTAGTGAACTACTTCACGAGTGTTTACCAGGTTACAGACTGATCACCTCGGTACTTTACAGAAGTAGATAGCAGAAGGACGACCACAGTCAGGGCCGTTGGCTTGCACACGTAATACGTATGGCCCCGGTCATCGCTTATCGAGGAGGGCATTGTTTTGTCTGCCAGATGTAAGAATGGCGTAAAGCTTGAGGTGGACAAAAGTTGACTTGGTAGTGGGAAGTGAGGTCATTGATGACCAAATTCGGAGCTGCAGTCCAAATGATTCACCTTGCGCTTGGCTTGAAATTTTACAGGACATGGCTGACAATCGACACCAGTGGCGCATCAGTTGCTGTCTCCTAGTCGGACTACTCATTTAAAGTGCGTTTGGCGATGAGTTATTTGCGGGGTAATGGCTGATTATGACGCGAGGCAGTGAGAGCCGCAAGGAAGCTGTCTCGCTGATGCCGGGTTATCGTTGCACGGTAGCCAGCTGTTTGTGACAGTATGTTGTTGACAAGATGTAGGCGCCATGACCCTGAATGTTTGCTAAGGGGATTAAGATTTTCCAGTAAGTCCGCCTTATTCTTCGTTCCGTAAATCTCCATAGTTCTATGGCGACGAAGCCCCAGTTCAAATGTCTGATGTACTGCCGTCGATTATGATGATGATAATTATGGTGGGTGTGAAATCGCACCCAGCGATGAAGAGGTCAACACACGCAAATGGTTGAGTACTCGATGGCATAAACTGATGTTGCCAACTGGGGAAACCGAAAGTTGCCGGCATGAGCAATGTTCACGCGTCTGGTACTGAACCACAAGTACACCCTCAGGAGGGAACGTATTCACATGCATGTAAGTGGGAAGGAAAGTTAGAGGGAAACAAACTGTTGAAAACGAGACCGAGCAGTAGCCGGTTGTGCTGTCAATGTGGCCTACGTCGCGACTCATTTCTGCCATATGACTCATCAAATGTTACGGGACACGGCACACTTGGCTTCAGCCGAGGCAAACGAAGATTGACGAGGTGTCCTCGGAAATATAGGTCCCAGAATACACATACACAGTGACAATAGTAAGTGCTAAAAGTGCGATTTTATCATCGGATAGGTTATGACCAATCATTACGCAATGCATGTCCAACAAGCAAGTTTCAACCAAGTTAGCAAGAATAAGTGACCTGCACTTACTGATGCTGTTTTGGCCAAAACTCACCAAAACGCACCTAGATCGTTGTGATACACATCGCATCTATAGTCTCAATCTATCGCCGCGACCCTAGAAGGTAGCTTAATCGTGAGATGCGTGAGGACAATATGCAGGCCACTTCCGATTCAATCTCAGCCCTAGTGAGAGCAGAGGGTGTGAGGTGCGGCACAAGATGACCACAGGCGTCTAGTATGTGATCGTGGCCATGGGATGAGCTACTCGGAAAACAGGCACCATGAACGGCGGGGTCGCAACATGTTACCGTCGAAGGAGCTACTGACTACAATGTGGTTGAGTGATGCAGTAGGTTTGGCCGCAGCCAGTGTGTCTGCTGACAGATAGAGTTAACATGATTACGGCCTTCAAGAGTCTACCGGATGTCGTGGAGCACATAGCTTTGAAAACAGCGCTAGCCTCAAAAAGTGGAGTGAACACGAAAAGGACCTCAGTCTAGAAACTGTCACGTTCACGCATGAACCCCCGTTTCCAAGTTATCGCTGAGTCGCTGGGTGACACTGCTCTGTCATCGGCAAAAAGTCAATGAAATAAACAGGTGTCACTTTCGCTTAGGTTGCAGCTGGAGCGACTGAAAATAATTCCGCTTCACCACCATATGCGTTTGCCGCGCTGGAGAAGACTGTGCTGGTGAATCCATGGGTGGCCTTTCACACGGTGTGCGGTTTTTCGGTAGCGGCTGCAACCGCGTATGGGAGTGCATCCGTTTAAAATAACCGTACAGCACTACCATGTATGGAGCGGTGAATGAGAGGCCATTAGCTGAGGTGGTCGATGCGTTGCAGGAGAAGGACCGAACTTCTAGTTGGAACTATGCCATGCAATGACCTGATGTATGAGTCAAATCACAGGCGTTGCATTACCTCGTTCTAACATGTCTTAGTTGATAAAAAGAACTTACAAGGAACCTTTCTTCAACCGCCGGTAATATTGTTTCACGCCTAACAGACATCCATCCTGTGCGCCGTCGATCGAGGAGTGCGGAGTCCAAATGTCGTAATCGGATGGAGAACCTGAAGTGTGTGTGTGGGGGGGACGAGGAATATGAATAAACAGGGCAGAATAAAGTAGCAAACTCGAAAGAATGCTGCAAAACCCATGTTTAATAGAAGGGCAAAAAACATTCACGGACGGCGGTTCGATCGGTTACCGCCGATCTGGCGTCGTGCGTGTGTATGAGAGCGGAGACGTAAAAAAATTGTTATCGAGCACTTAGTAGTTGTGCTTCTCTAACAAATGACCATAATTACCCCGCTGGTAAAAACAATGATGAGGGGAAATGAGTGGCCTGGTGTCAAACTTAAATGCTATAAACAAGTATGTGGGATCAAAGCGCTTACACCTAAGGAGCAACGCGTAGACATTGTGCAAGAATAAAGTGGCATCGGCGAAACGTATACCTCGTGGTTTTCGCTAACTACCTCAGCACCAGACAGACCTAAAGACCAAGGCAGTAGACTTAACGAACCAATTTTGCGTTACAAAGGCTGAAAAATGTACAATTCTCACGAAAGAGCATTTTCATTTGTTGATCCGTTTACGCCAAAACGACAAACGTTCTTAAGTCGTCCAAATGAGTAAACAGGATTATGTTCAAATCATGCAAACGGTCTTTAGGAATGAGGCTGGATTCGTTCGAGATCTAACAGGGCGCGATAGGACGGAAAGAGTCGACAAATCTATAGTTCGCGAGCTGCGAAGAGGTTAATTGACACAAAAACCATGCAGCAACTCGGACCTCGTGGATCAAGAATTCCTCGCATGTATGGTCTACCGAAGTGACTGAGCCTATCCGATCCGAGCTGGTTATGCATAGTTAGAAAGACACGTTTGGATTCGTTGATAAGATTCAGAAGCTTAACGCGAATGACAAATGCTTGATATCTTCTGACGTATCTTCTCTGTTCACAAATGTCCCCCTGGAGGACACGTTGAATATCATAGGTACGCACGCGGGCAAGGTGGGCTTTCCAGCACACCGTTTAAAGGCCCCACTCCGCATTTGCACCAACGATATTCAAGTTAGTTTTGATGGTTACCTCTACCGGCAAATTGAAGGCGTAGTGATGGGAAGTCCGTTTCGACCAGTTTTAGGTGACATCTTCATGGGCTATCAACCAGAGAATCAGCAATTACGAATAACCATAGAGACGACACGCTTCTATGCCCGGCATGTAATGACCCTTTGGTGGTCGTCGATACTGCTCAGAAGGCGGAAAGCATGCTGGAAGAATTAGACCGATGGACGCAGAGATCAATTTCATGGAAGCAGAGTCGGAGGAGACGTTTCAATTGGATGTTGCTTGAAGCGAAGACAAGATGGATCGCTCATATGGTCACTTTATCCTAAACCGAGCTGGACAAGGCAGTATCTAAACTTTAACAGCTAATGCGCAATGAACTATAAGCGATCATTGGTTCGCACCTGTTTTACGAGAGCTCGCCGAACCTACTCAGAAGAATCGATCATGAGTGAATTACATTGCATTGTATCAACCTTACGAGATGATTAGCACGCAAGTAAATCGGAAAAATAAAACGACCCGATGTTCCCAAGCAGCTGTTCATTACCCTACCTTTCAAAGGAGAACAAAGTGATAAGCGGTTCTACCACCGGCTACGTCAAGCCGTAAAGTGCAGCTGAGTTAGTGCTGCTGCACCAAACCAGGAAATCGCTACATGAATCCAATTAAGATAAGCCTCTCGCTCAAGCCACCACCTCCTGCGTTTAGCAGTTTAACCGTACGTGCGATAGCATATACCTTGGCCGAACTGAAAGAATAGTATCGGTAAGGATTATGAAGCACATTCCGCGAAGCCTAGCAATGAGAGGTCCTACCAGTTCCATCACCCGACACCTAGTGGATTGCAATAACCGAAAACCTTCGTGACGCTTTCAACGCCATCGGCAGAGAAAACACAGCAACACTGCTCTAGTTTGCCGAGGCTTCCACTATCCGGCGGCTGAAGCCCAACCTGTGCAAACAACTTGACCTCATGGTCAGCCTGGTCCTGCCGTTATAAGGCATAGGTTCGGTCACTGGAAGCGATGAGCGCGATCGCCATAGTTTAAACTTGGTTGCTGTTACGAAGGAATACGCGAGTCGAACAAGCCAGGACCCCATCGCCGCGGCCGGCGATCCAAACTCATCCGCCCCGATTGGGGCGAACAGAAAGCCAACCAGGAGAAGCGGCCAATGAACGCTAGGTCGAAGTTCCCTTCCAGAGATTTCCACGGTCGCTTTAAATACTATTCACGAACTTTCCATTTTGCCTCTATAATGAACGGTGTGATTTGCTAATTCATTCCTGTTGCTCTGGTCGTCCGATCCTGTTTTCTCTTTGTCCTGTGTGGGCCAGCGACTTCGGGTTTGATTGGAAATCAAGCGTCCATTCAGGCGAGGGACGAACACTTCAGTTGCTCTTATCGATCTGGGTTTTGCACTGCTCGAATGTTAAGTGTGTGGCCTGCCAGTTGGTTCAGGTGTCATATGGCAAGTTTAGGAACAAATACTGCCAAATAATCAATCAGGAGACAGATGACTGGGGAACGGGGCCAGTCAGCAGGGAACGGGCTCCTCGTGGTGTTAGTTGGGTGGCTCGGGACTATCCAATTCGAATGGATCGTTCCGCGGCAGTGCCTCAGGACGTGATGGATTTGCTTATGGCAAGTGCTCATCCTACAAAAAGCCACAAATGTCTTTCTAACAACACCACAAAGCTGTAGACTGGCCACTAACCAGTCACCACCCTTTACTTTACTTCAGGGGAGTACTGGACTCCAGAAAAGGTGTGGTGATATCATAGGGAAGATTGGGCCCTGTTTGGGCGTATGGACTGAGCAGTCACCGGTTCCAAATGGGTGCGATTTTCTTGATTTCGCTCTGCTGTCCTGCACATAGGCTATGCAGCCAAAGATTGGGGGCGAATGTCAATACTACCGCGCTCTGGGCCACCAGGTAACATTACCCCACTGAAGAAACCATGGACCAACAAGTCGGAATACCTGCAGCTCGGGTCGTCTGTTCTGATTCTGGTCTGTACTCCGAGCTGAACAATTTCATTGCAGACGTTGCATCACCAACAGAGGTGACTTCGTCAGTGCGTAGTAGGCAAACTGAGCGGTTAAAGCTAACGTCTTGATCACTACGCCACTGTGATCCGTGAGCAAAGATACGATTTCTGATGGATTCAGAAGAAGCACGTGTTGCTGACGTGCCCCAATGACTGTTTAGTGATCCCAGATATATTAGCTGTGACGAAATAATTGAAAACATTTGTACACCTTCCCGCGAATACTCACTACGTACGTGAGGAGCAATTTAGGCCTGGCAACTAGCTAAAATGCGATCTGGTTGAACCGCGGACTCCATGGTGAAGAGTAACCAAAAATGTGAGGGGTTTTCCGCCTGTCATACTAGCTGCAACTAAAAGCCCTAGGAGAGTACAGCGGAAGTTCTTGCAGTCCACTAGGCGAGCTCATTCTGGCGTACCAGATCTTGGAAAACCTCGGTCACGTTCGCCGCCACCTCCCGAAGCCTGGCCTCCACACAAAATCGAGGAGCCATCGGCTGAAATTGGCCATCTACTACCATCGGTTGGGATGCTTTCGAAATTATTTTTGTCTCCGAATGTGTCAACCGTGGAACGCCCTTTCTAATTTTATCATTTCTGCACACATGCTTCCAATATTAAAAAAGAACGACTCGACACCAATGCAGTACGAGCTTTGAATTCTGCTCATCGAGTGACAAGAGCAACATTGTGTACATCAGTCCCCACGAAATCGGGTTAGACAGATTTACAAGTGTTGTGTAAGGTGGCTATAATAGTGAGTTTACAGATGCGTGTTTCACTTTGCTGTCACTTTTTTTTTGGAACTTATGTAGTTCACACAAACACTCCCACGGGACTTGTCTGGCTTTGGATTTTCTACGCGTGCTATGCCATTGTTCCATAAGGCACAGCCAACAGATCAGTTGGCTCACATTTTCATTTCCAGTGGGACAGAAATTGTCCATCGAAATCTGACGGAAGTATCCACCTCATGAGAAAAGATAGGGTGCGTACGCTGTGTACTGGGCTAACCATCACACGCGTACCACGACGATTCGTCTCCACATCAGGCGACTGACCGTGACTAGGGCTCGCATGAAGTGACGAAGTGGAGTCGACCTAGCGCTGGCCTCATAAACACAACTTCTTCCCAGTATGCGTGTGCGTATGTCACACGAGCTGACACGAATCGCACCCTCATGGTTAAATCGTACGGAAACACTAAAAAGGGGGTGAGGGTGTTTCGCCCAAGCTGCACACGTCAAGCAGTGGGTTGACAGCACACGCGGAATCTGTGTCCGTACGGACAAGGATGAGAGGGTTAGGGTAACGGCATGAATGACGTCCCGGACCAATTTAGCCATGACCACAAATGCGTCATCGGTGTCCCATACAGTATGCGTGCCTACGTGAGCACAGAACATGGTGGTGCATGGGGCCGATGCGCATAAAGGCGCCTTAATTTGTTTACGTGAAACTTAACGAAGTGAAAAATGATAATGATTTAAGGGATGGTGGTCGAAATGCGAAACCAGAGTATGGGCAAACCTAGGGTGGGTGTGAACGACGGCTGCGCGTTTGTGAGGGAGAATAAGGGAAATTGATTTCAAAAAAGGCCAGAACAATTTTGCAAGCACGCAAACAGACAACCACAGGTATCTCAAACATACCACGCGTCCGACGGGTTTGGAGAAGAGCAATGGATCCATCAATTAACAAAACCAATGTTAACTATTCATGGTCGAACTCTGAATAAACAGATCGGGCGACGTAGGACCAAGGAGAGGAGACGCGGATACTGTCCAGATGTTCAAATATCGGCCAAATTCGGTGCCGCGTAGTAACGGAGGTCAACAGTTGCCAGGGTGGACGATAGTTCGCGAACAGCGAGATACCCGCTCTAAGGACACACGAACGTGATGGGTTGAACAACGGTTACAAACTAGGTTTCCAGTCG